CGATTGATTTGGTGGTGGCCGATTGGCTCTGCGCTGCTCCTGCTTGCACCTGAGGTATGGGTGGTCCTTGCCACACTGGCTGCAGGTATGGGAGAAATGGCACGACGACGACGAAGAAAAGCGACGTCTATTTAAGTTGCGGCAGATTTCTTGGCTGTCGCTGGTGCGAGTGCGACCACTGGAGGTAAGTGCTGCTGGCTTGGGGTATTGGCTTGGAGGCGAAAAGGACACGGACCCGCCACTGGATGGACCGTCTTCCATTGAGCGCATTTTGGGCACGTATGCCCCGTGAACTTGAGTGTGAAGGCTATCTGCTACAGGTTCACGTCGACGGTGTCCAACCTCTTCAGGTATTTGCTGGGCCGCGAGCATCCGCAGCTGGCAGTCGTATTATAGCCACGAGCTTGGGGATAACTGGTGGTTAGCAGTCACTATCAACCTTCATCATTTTGCGAGAACTGTGGAAATACGTCCAGTGAGAAGGCAGATTTTGCCTGTGCTTCTGGTGAAGTAATATAAAGCTAAACAAACAAACAAACAAACTGAGGGTACACAAACAGTTCAGCAGTGCAATGTGGGGCAGCAGCCGTGATAACAAACAAGTATATGGTACAGGCCTCGAGCCAGGTAGCTATATCGTGAACCTTGCGACACACCTGCTTCGCGTCATCTGACTCAACGATATTTAGCTGGCTATCGTTATTCGGGCTATGCGCCAGCCGGATTGTTCGGGGGGTGGGGGTGGGGATGGAAGATATCAGTAAACAAACTCGAAATATCTACGGATGCCCCTTGCAAGATACATTCTTGCACAGCCTTGGGCACAGCTGGTGCAGGTGGCTGAACGGGCGGGTTGCAAGAGCTTGGGCCTTGGGCTGGCGTAGCGGCGGCAGCAGTTGCATTGCCTTGGCCATGTGTGAGGTGCAACATATAGTACTCTCAGCAATAGGGGCCGAAACCTCGCCCCACACGAGAGCGCGGAGGAGGTCCGTTGAGCCCACGTCACCTGACCTGGTCGAGGAGACATTTGTTCCGGTCGGGCTCCTGGGCTCGCGAGCCGTGTCCGCACTGTCATGTTGCTGGTTTTCGAGGCCAGAGCAGACCTCACTACCAAGGGATAGCTATGACAGCTAGCGGTCTTGTAAAAATAATACATACTTTTATTTCCTTTCGGGTTCAGGCCGCACTGGGAAAGCTGGCCGTGGAGGGTTTGGCAGGTCATTGCCTTCACAGTGTGTACAGTTAGGTCAGATATGCTGAAAAAATACAGTGTCGAGGTGACAGCAATGTTACGAAAGGAAAAGGAAAACTAAAAAGGAACACTGCTGAAGCACGATCTGCTGTCTGCAAGAACACAATGGGGCAAGCAAGATATGTTTTCTTTTCAACAACACAGGCTGGGTGTCATTTGTAATTATGCAGCAAAGCAAAGCGCATAACGTCAGTCTTGATTGCAGTACAAAGCTTACGAGTACTAGCACAGCTTTTATGTAGTTACCCTATATTCTCAATTTATTCCCGTAGCTATGCAAAAAACATTACTTCAGTAACGCCTGACGCTAGCCAGGGTCCACACAGCTTTAATTCCGTGTTTGTGTGTTTGTGCCGTTGGCATGCCTGGCGCTATCCCGTGCCTGTCCCGTACCGTACCATCAAAGACAGCTGGCCACAATATTCAAACAGGGCTTTCAAATGCGTAACGTGAATCAACTTGGAAGAATAAGTAGGTATGCGCAGTCTATCGGGGGGAATGCACGCAGGGCGATAGTGTGGTTTTGAATCCCAGGTTATGTCCTGAAAAAAAATAGGAGAAATGAAAAATGTATAACATCACTATGCTTTTTTTGCCTAGGTCATCAAGGTGGTAGACGGTGTTGTATTACCCTCGAATGCAAAGATAAAGTATATTTCTTTCGCTCAGGGTCCTACCGTATGCTTTTTTGCCTAGCTCATCATGCATGCTATTCGAACAGATGGAACTTTCTGCAGTACAATGATGTAGCTGATCAAGTCGTCGTGGTATGGTTGGGAATTGTAGCTGTAATGGTGGACGTAAAACACCATTTACATACACAAGCTCGGGGAGCAAACGCCTCTCTGTCCCATACGCTGCCACATTCCAACTAAATGCAAAAACATGCACTTCACACGAGCTGACTTGCACGCGTGGCCCTTTTCACGAACCCAGAAAAAGGGATTCGTCTATTATAACGCATGTGTGAAGTCACTAGATTACACTCGCACCAGAGTTGAAAGGCGGTCTAGCTGTCGCGGAAGAAGCCTGGAAGGGCAAACGGAAAAGATACCTGGCGCTATCCCGTACCGTACCATCAAAAGGGGCGTCACAGGGCGGCTGTGAGTAGGTCTGTTTCTGTCAAGTTCACTGTGAATGCGTCCGTGAGGAATCCATTGTCTGGTTGTCTCTACCCGTGACTCCAACCGCCTATCGTAATGGATAGCCGCCTGGAGTCTTGGGTAATAACTAACTGCTAGTGCTAGGCATCAAGTCTGTATGCTCCTCCTTGCAATGAAAGTAATTCGTTGCGATGTTTTGGACAAGTCCGAAGATCCTTGAATTTTTTATTGCATTTTTCGATGAATTGGGCGGACCATGCTGGACGAAAAGTGGTACGACAATGGTCGTAGTGGTCGTACCGTGTGTGATACCCTTGATCAAAGACAGCTGGCCACAATATTCAAATAGGGCTTTCAAATGCAAGATCAAGTGAAGCAACTTGGAAGAATGAGTATGTAAGCAAAGTGTATCGGGGTAATGCACACCGGACGATAATGCACGTTCGAATCCTTGGTTATGTCTTGAAAAAATAATATAAAAAATACATAACATCTCTATACACAACATCTTTACATAACATCTCTATGCTTTTTTGCCTAGGTCAGCAAGGTGGTAGACGGTGTCGTATTACCCTCGAATGCAAAGAGAAAGTTTATATAACCCAATAAATTCTGCAATCCCTTTTGCCTAACTCATATTCAAACTGATTGAAACGTTTGTGCAAGACAATGATGTAACCAATCAATGGAAAAAAACATTTCCATCAGTTCGAATAACATACATGATGAGCTAGGCAAAAAAGCATAGTGTATGGCCCTGAGCTACCAAGCTCTCTCGTTAATAATTTTTTTTCAAACGGGTCCAAGTAACCCGCCTCCACCCCCCCCCCCCCCTCCCCCACAGCCCCCCCCCCCCTCAGTTTCGCTGATCTGCCTGAACCGGCACTGGAGCTGAGAGCTGATACTGCTCAAAGCCCATAACCAACTTAATTGAAGACCAACCCTTCTCAGATGCTAAGTACAGTAAAACCTGTAACTAAAGACCACCGTGACTAGCGACCAGCCTTGTACTAAAGACCACTTTGGCAGGCACGGAAGGTCTAACATTCATACATGGTTGGGTGGTGCAAACCTGTAACTAAGGACCACCTGCCACTAAAGACCACTTTCTCTGGCCCCAAGGGGTGGTTGTTAGTCACAGGTTTCACTGTAGAAGGCATCAATTCCCTATGAATTCTTCATCCATAAGGATGCGGAACTCTCTATGCCAGTGCCGGTGTTGCCTTTACTAACTAAGGGAGCATCTCATAAGTTCGCATTTTATTTGCAAACGTAAGGCATTTCGAATAGACTTAACCCCCCTACCTCCCCCCCCCCCCCCCTATTTGAAGGTCTTATCGCCCATTTTCTGTTTAGATCTACTGTACCTGTGTCCATGCCTCATGCTATGGTATGTACATGTGTACAGCATTGGGTATGTACATGGATATGAATGTTTTGCTAGTGAAGTACTGTAGTGCATCCAGAAGTTACATTCATTACTGAAAACAATCTTCAGATGTCTTCAGATGTGACGTTAGACGTCCGTGATGATTTGTTGGCTTTCACTTGGCGTCTACTTTTCACCTACCTTTGTCACTACCTCAGTACCATTTGTGACGTGTAAGCTAGCGCAACCTATTCCTGTGTACCTCTCCTTCTCAGTGTGAATGATTTAGCACTTGTGATAGTTGTGTCTGGTAGGGTTCAGAACACCTTCATTCTGCACTATTCCCTTTTGTGTTGATATGTCACATTATGTGAGTTAGTTGAGTGTTTACACCTCAGTGCGCCAATATCTTTTTTATAAAATAGCATTATTCAGCTAAACCCCTTCATTCAACAACTGCTTCTCCTCTGATGAGTTCCCCGTTATTATCTCTATGGAACGAAACAAGACTTGTCAGGAGTACTACTACTTGCTTTCGTGGAGTGTGGCCGATGAACTGTGCTGTGATCTTCAAGCGTCGTGTGGTCTCGTCCGGTCAAATGAACAACCTATTACTATTCATAACTGAGTACAAGAACAATCAATGACGTGTAGTCATCAATGGTCATGTACACACACATAAACGTACATGTAGTTCCTCCAATTCCCCCTCCATAACAGCTGTGCATGTACAGTGTACAATGTCAATGTACTGCTGTATAAAAAGCTGGCCAAGTACACCGTTTGATCAGGCTGGTGTGACATTTGACACCTCTGAGTAGCCTGCATGCATGCATACAGTGCAAGGGTTAGCTGATCTGGAAAGACAGGTAGATCCACACCTAAACCATGTAAACACAGTTATCTGAAGCGATCTAGCACATGCACAGCACAGTGTTGTACACTTCCAGAAAATGTGCGAACTGTCATTTTTCTATTCGAAAAGAGCGCTCCCCCCCCCCACCCCCGTTTCGAAATGCCTTACGTTAGGAAAAAAATGCGAACTTATGAGATATGTGTGTGTTTGTGTATGTATATGTGTGTGTATGTACATGTATGTGTGTGTGTGTGTGTGTGCGCGCGCACGCGCTTGTGTGTATGTGTGCGCATGCACATGCGCGCACATGCGTGCATGTGTGCATGTGTATGAATCTGCATGTGTATGCATGTATGTGTATGTGTGTGTGTGTGTGTTTGTGTGTACATGGTTTGTATTCGTTAACGATGCTACTTTCAGTATGGTACGACACCACTCCACTATGCAGCATACGGAGGTCATGTGTCCGTAATAGAATATCTGTTGAATGCTGGACATCCATTGGAAGCGAAAAATTCGGTAAGTCAGGATATCCCTGGTGCATGCTTGTTTGTGTAGGAGCAGAAAAGAAGGATTACCGTACTTTCGCGATTAGAGCCCTCTCTTGAATAGTGCTCTATGTTGAAAAGTGCCCCAGTCTCTATGAGCATGTGAACAAAATATATAGCCCTCCCTTGGATTGTGCCCCCCCCCCCCCCTCCCCCGGCTTGTTACCAAGCGCATGTGCACGTTTTGTGTTCCAGGCCATGTGATAAGGGTCGTACTGCCGTAATGTCCTGACACTTCCCGGACTTGCAACTTTGCCTCACATGTCGCTGAAAGGCAACATTTTTTAAATTCTCGACCGAACGATATGACCGAACAAAATTTTCCTGGAAACTGCACACAAACCTTGCACCTAACCACATCACCCCTGCGCGATCATCTTTGCATCTCTCATACTCCCTGTCGAAAGGTCCTTGTCGCGCTCAGCAGTCCACTTGTCAAAAATGGTGGCACGCAAAGCGCGGAGCTTCGTGCCATGAGGAGGGCCATCGTGGCCACCTTTTCTCTTCCCAATCCTTAAAGGACTAGAACTGATCTCAGAAAATGCGAAATCGGCATTCTTGCACATACTTCTCCTACGATAAGTTAAATAACTCCACTAATAACTTGTAGGTCGATTTTCACAATCTCGGACTTTCTGTTAGGCTCTATCCATAAGACTTTAGTAGTACATTTCCTGTAGACATGACAAGCATCAACGTAAATGTACAGTGAGCAAAGCAAGCGTACGCATCATGTCAATTGCTAGCGAAATACACATCGCAATGCAATTCCCACCAATTTTATCGTAGAGCACTGGGATTTTGAAAAGACCTCTGGATGGCGGTAGCATTATTTGGTCATAGCACCTGGCTGGCTAGGGATGCGCAAAAATGGGCAAACCCCCAGCTGAAGTGCATTTTACAAGCTCATAATACAGCTTGAGATATAGCCCGACTCCAGGACCTTGGGTCGCGTTCGTTCGGGTTTCTTCAAGACGACAGCTGAGAGTTTTTCTGTTGCCGATAGATCCCAGTAGTATGTATAAAGCCAGTTCTGTGAGAGGTACATGGTCCAGCCCGAACAAATGGGGTACTATTGATAGTACCCCATTTTTGGGGTAAAAACGAGCACCCGTTTTTTACGTGAAACATGATTTTTCGGGTGAAGGATGGATTGTACCCCACCTTGCCCCGGATGGGAGTGGGTATAAGAAGTAGATGCATTGTTGGATAATGTTTCATTATTGAGATGATGATATGGGTGAAGATGGATTTTGAATTTGAGATCTTACGTGCTTATGTACGTGAAAAGAGACTTTGTGAAGAAGAAGAAGAACAAGAAGAAGGAGAAAAAGAAGAAGAGTAAGAAGGGGAGGAAAACTGTGTCATCAACTCGATAATGTTGCTCATGAAGGAAGATACGGATGTTCTTCTTGTGGACTTGTCATGGATGTGGTTTACTTACCTGAAGTTGATGTGCATCAGAGATGTAGTTTGATGAAGAAGCCTTACGCTGCACATGAGCGGTTATGTGGTGTGGATCGTCATCTTTTGCATTTTCTTTCGAAAACTGAACTCTTATCCGATCAGCTTCGTGTACACCCTCTTCGAGAGCAGATACGTGCGATGAAGAAGTCCTGTTTGTACAAGAGTATAAGCTATGCTATAGCATTATCATGTATAGTATACGATACGAATGTGGATGCATGACTTAAACTGCATTCCTACTTGCCTCATAGCAATGTATCCTCGTTGAGGTTCAGTCGAATCATGAAACCTCTTTCTCAGCATTTTCCACTCCTATACATACTGCATCTCATGGAGTCGACTAGGATGGTGTCTTCATTGCAATTGTCCACGTTGCGTTCGAATTTGCTGCTTTTATCTCCATCTGATATATCTCTTATGACATCATTGATTGATGCTTATTACTGGGAAACCTATTCACTTGATCACGTGATCCAGAACATGTACACGTTTGACTGTGATCTTCTTTCCATACTGTATCAATTCACTAAGGTGGCGGTAGCATGTAAGGAAGTTATATAATGAGATATGATTTTGGCGGGCACGATGCTGATTGGTCAAATGTTTTTGGCGCGCTTGATGCTGATTGGTGAAATGTTTTTGGCGGGTTTGATGCTGATTGGTCAAATGTTTTTGGCGGGCTTGATGCTGATTGGTTGACACATATCTTATCTTTTCAATCCAGCTCCCTCTCTGACTCGTATAAATACGAATGATTGTCCTGCAGCTGAGTCATTCGTTCATCGAATACAGTGCAGGCGAGTTGTCCTGACTTCACTTCCTAGAAGATGGCTTCCCTATACGAGCGACGGATGAAGAAGAATTCCGCTCTTCCTGCTGACCCTCCTCGAGTTGTGCTCTCCTCGAAGCCAGTACCGGCTAAGCGTCGCTATGTATCACCTGCTCCTACCAAGCTCCACAAAGAAATTGTGGTGGATGGGTTTCAGGAGGACATGTCCTACAAGTTATCGGGTAAATCCTTCTACAAACCTGGATGTGCTTCCCTTCGGGAGCTCTGCCAGCCTGTGGTAGTACGGCAACAGCTCGCAAAGATGCTCAAGGACAAGTTTACATCGCACTGAACGAGTCCACTGAGTTCATCATTACGAACTTGATCAAGACTTGTCCATCGCTCCGTGACACTCTCCGAAGTGGACGTGTGGAGAAGATCAAGAGCAACTTTTACACATCACGTTCGTCTGACGGTCAATGTCGGGTGTACATCAACGGTGAAAAAAAACTAGTCCCGACCAGCTCGTTCGAACTTGATGTGGAACAAGGTGTACTCATCTACCCCGGGGCAGTCTCCCTCGACACTGACGAGCAAGTGATGAAGGTAAGTCTTGCTGTTGCTCCAATCATCTGCATCAACGTGGAACCCAGATGTTTTCATCGTGCTCTGGACAAACATATGACACTTTCTATCACGGAACTGAAACAGCTGACTGAGAGCTTCACATCATTATGCAGTGTCGTCGTCCAACAAGACGATCAACTGGTAGAGACCTTCCAATAAGTCTTTAACCCTTTGTGCGCTCAACGAGCGATTTCGCTCGTTTCAAATGCGCGTCACATTTTTGATCGTCGCGCTTGACTGGTTTACCGCATCGAGCCGAGACTTCACCACCGCGTACCTGAGAAAATTTCCGTGACGTAGGTACTAAACATGATGTAGGTCGCCACTAAAATTTTTTTGATAGCACGCTTTGAAAGAGCCTTTGCAATTATGTCAAAATTAGAATTTGGACTTATCCAGCGATGGATGCAGACGAGGCGCTTCGCCTAATACAAGACGCGGACCAAGCAGATCTCCCAGTAGAGGATATCGCTTGCTCTTCAGGCGACGAGGTAGGCGACTCGGACAACGATTTTATTTCGTCTGACGAGGAAGATCGCCTGAATGACGATCTCTTTTCCGACTTGGAGCAAATAGGATCCGATTCGGCTGACGATATCGCTATTCCTGTTCCCGTCGCTGCTCGTGGACGTGGCGCTGGACGAGGCAGAGGCCAAGCAGTAGGTGTCCCCGCGCGTGGAAGAGGGCGAGGACGTGGAGCTGCGACAGGGCGAGGACATTGAGTTGCGACAGGGCGAGGACGTGGAGCTGCAAGAGGGCGAGGACGCGGAGCTGCAAGAGGGCAAGGACGAGGACGTGGTATACAGTACGAAAATTGTAGTGGCTATGATGATGTTGACCAGCTGCAAACCAATACACCTGAGTTCAACATAACTGGCACTGGTTTGAACCTACCTGATAATTTCGCTCCAACATGTGAACTTGATTTCTTCAAACTATATTTCCCGGACGAAGTTGTGGATTCAATTGTCAAGTTTACAAATTTGTATGCGCACGAGCATATCGCTGAAAAAAAGACCTACCAGACGGATGGTGTGTGGAAGGAGACCAACCGTAATGAGTTTTACGGCCTCCTTGCATTTCTCTTCTTCCAGGGATTTCATCCTCTGCCTGCGACGAGGGACTACTGGCGCGTTACGTCGTTGTACAACGGAAACTATGCACGCTGCATGATTCGAACCTACCGGAGGTACTTAGCGCTGATGTGCTTCATCAAGATTGTGGACTTCAGGGCAGAGGATATAAATGATCGACTTCGTAAGGTGCGATACCTTCACGACCATCTGCAGGCGGCCTGCAAGCGTTTGTTCATCCCTGGCAAGTGCGTTAGTGTTGACGAGCGCATGGTCAAGTGCAAGGGACGCGCTCCTTTTACGCAGTATATGCCCAAAAAGCCCGTCAAATGGGGCTTCAAGGTCTTCGCTGCCTGCGACGCCCAAAGCTCCATTGTTGTAAACTTTGAAGTTTACACAGGCCAGCAACCTGGAGGTGAAAATGGCCTGACTCATGCTGTGGTGATGCGGCTGGTCAGTGACGTGCGCGCCGGAAGTGTGATCTACACGGACAATTTTTACACTTCCGAAACCCTGGCCACATCTCTTCGTACCAAGCAAATATCGTTGGTTGGCACCGTCCGCGCGAACCGCACTGGATTTCCAGCCGTATTGCGGACCGACATGAAACAGTTCGAGAAACATGCAGAGCGAGGTGCAACACGCTATGTTCGCAACGGAGATCACCTGTACCAGCAATGGAAGGACAAGCGGTGTGTGTCAATGTACAGCAACATACATCAGGGCCATGAGCATGACACAGTAACAAGAAATGTCAAGATTGATGGTGCACACCAGCAAATGGAAGTGCAGAGGCCAATGTGCATCAGAGACTACAACAGCAGCATGGGTGGAGTCGACACGTTCGATCAGCTGATCGAAACGCACCGTGTGCTTCGCAAAACGAAGAAATACTGGAAGAGTCTCTTCTTGGATATGGTCGACGTGTGCGCTGTCAATGCATACCGCCTCTTTCACTTGTGGCAGAGCCAGCATCCAGGGGTGATAAGTCGACGATGCAACTTGCAGCACTCGGATTTCCGCTGTAACCTCATCCGGCAGCTGTCATCGATTGATGAGCATGCACCGCCACCGAAGCGCTCGTATCGCCCAGTGCCTGTTCCGCAGGATGTCCAGGTTCCTGTTGCTCAGCTTCACATACCTGGAGTGAGGAAAAGGAAGAACTGCAGAAAC